GGATGGATGGATGGATGGATGGATGGATGGATGGATGGATGGATGGAATTTGTGTTGCAGATGACCTGAAAAGAATGGGAGAAACTGTGTTACAAAACGGAGAATTCAAGTTCTACTATGTTTGAACCACAACTAGTTAAAATTAGTTTAGTTAAATGTAAAAAATATATATACAGTTAGAAAACAAATACCAAAACAGTCTTCATACGGAGATGAATTACCGATCATCTTCTGTGTATTTGAACATACTGCCAACTATGAACTTTGCCCCACTAAAACGGAACCTTTCTTCGTTGAGTTTTTTTTCTTCACGCCAAATAAAAAGCGCACCACATGAACAGATGACCTGTCTTACTAAAACAACGAAACATGTTTAGAACGTTTCAAAATTTAAAAAACTGACTTTAATGTTTTACACCGTGAACAATTTAACATTCGTATCTTTGGAAGAAAAAAAAGTTTTAGAAGTTATTCAGTCATTGAAACCTTAACGCCTTTTTGGTGAGTTTAGCAACGGTCAATGGAGTCTCAGCCAATCAGACGTCTGAAAATTCTGTAGCAATGCTTTCCATTGGCTGGATTAGTAGGCGGTCTCCTAAAGTCCCCTCCCCTCCTCTCGGTGTCACTCTAAAATGATTCCGGTCTCCTCCTTGGCTAAAGGTTCATTGGTGTGTGTTTAACGATAGCAGAGTGTGATTGTTAATAGTTTCGGCTACAATGTCTGGCCGTGTTCTTGTTGGAGTTAAACGTGTCATTGACTATGCAGTAAAGGTAAGAATGTTATGTACTGTAGTTTTATTTTTTATATATGTATTTTTGTGATGAACCCTTGACTGTCGTCTTTACTCTGCTTGCTAACATTAGGCTGTTCATTTGACAGGTTCCACAGCTAGGGTCATGCGTTGTGTTTGCAAGGAATAGGCAACTTAATTTGTTAAAAGCTTACTGTTTGTGATTATTCTTACCACCTAAAATCCTAGTACATCCTGAACCATCATAAAAAAGTCACAATTTCTACATTTTCTTTAACAGATTACAGTGAATCTTTCAGCAAATGTGCTTTGATATTAGATATTTGACTGAAATTAAGACATTTTATGATGGTTGATAACTTTTCACATCTTTGGTGGAAATTCAGGACAATCATTATCCCCAAATTTAGACTTTTAAGACAAAATGCCATACTTTATTTTTAACCTATTTACACAATCTTGATTATTTGAATTAATTTGTCTCTTTAATTGTTTGTTTTAGCATAACATAGATAACCGTTTTGTTACAATACCTAGTTGAAGTCATAAAATATCCATCAATCTTGGGTTATGGAGGCAACAGGTCCAGGAGAGAAACCCAGACATCCCTCTCCCCAGCAACACTTCAACTTTTTCTGGGGGATCCCCGAGACGTTCCCAGGCCAGAGAAGATATGCAATCCCTCCAGTGACTTCTGTCTTGTGTTCAGATCTAAAGACCTGGTTTATGTTCTACAATATAAATATACACATCCTGATCTTGTGAAGATCGAATCAGAAAGTGTTCGTCATATAGCTGAAAGAACCCTACAATCTCAGCAGGATCGGTACAGTCAGTGTGGTGCATTTATTAGTACGATCACAGTGCAGGTGTAAAACATCACCAAAATAATTATATGAGAAAAGTGTTTATTTTATATTTCTAGTCTCAATCTCAGTCACATCTAAAATTATCACTAAAGTTATTGTTTTAATTTTGACCGAATGGGATTAAAACCTTGCATTTAATTTAATGTATGCTTTTTTCCTTTTATATTTTGCTGTTGTTACTTCATAATTCCAGAGGCCCAGTTCCTCTTCTAATTTAAAGAGCATGAGCAGGCCAAAGAAAACCTACTAAATCCTCCTGTATGAATGTGGTAGCTGCTGCGTTATTGTTTTTTCATCAAGACTGAATGTAAAAAAATATATTCTAAAACCTGAGCACCATCAGACTCATGTAGTGACATCTAGATTCTGCTTAATCAAATATAACTGTTTCTCATATTTGGGGGGTTGGAGCTGGACAATCTGATTTACTGTTAATCCGGTATGCCTTCAATCACTAACCAGGTGCTTTGTTTCCCCGCAGATTCGTGTAAAACCAGATCACACTGGTGTCGTCACAGATGGCGTGAAGCACTCAATGAACCCCTTCTGTGAGATCGCTGTGGAGGAGGCGGTCAAACTGAAGGAGAAAAAGCTCATTGAAGAAGTTGTGGTTGTCAGCTGTGGGCCACAGCAGTCACAGGTGAGTGACGGACATATTTTAATAGGAAATTCTTTATTGCAGCAACAAACTAATATTAAACTTGTGCTAAATAAAGTTATAAACTGTGCAAAAAGAATTAAGGTGTACAAATATGATTTTAAATGTGCTCATTTATTTATTTATTGTGTCCTGAAGTTGTTTAGTGTGATATACTTACTTTAAATGAACTGTTTTTGCAGCATTTAAAAGCATGGAAAAGGTTTGCTGAGGATGAGCTTTATTAAAAATATTACAGTGTAAAATTTCTATGTGATGTCATAAAGGTTGAAAACTCAGCAAAACTGATGTGTAAACAGAAAGAGGAAAAGATCAAACATTACTTGCTCTTATGCATAAAAAAGACCAACTAATACAAAAACATAACGTACATGTAAAATCGTTCCAAGCCTAAATAGTCCTGTGTGTATAAAACAATAGAAAATGACAGTATATTTAGATTTGAAGACTTGAACTTGTAATTCCATATTTATCAGGAAACCATTCGTACTGCCCTCGCCATGGGAGCCGACCGTGGCATTCATGTGGAAGTCAGTGGGAAAGACTACGAAGCTCTCGGACCCTTGCAAGTCTCCAAGATCCTGGCTGCTTTAGCCAAAAAAGAGGAGGCTCAACTCGTCATCCTTGGCAAACAGGTCAAAACAACAGAATCTTGTACTACTTAAATGTTTTTAAAGTCAAACAGTAACAACATTTTAAATACTTGTTTTCTTCATTTGTTCCTTTCTCAGGCCATCGATGATGACTGTAATCAGACTGGCCAGATGACCGCAGCCTTACTTGACTGGCCTCAGGTTAGTTAACAATTTAAATGCTTGTACTTTCAACGAGACTCTGCAACCAGATCTTTAAATTCACTTAAAAAAATCAAACTCACTAATGTTACTCATTTAGTTAATCTCTGTTTCCTTTGTCTTCTGTTCTTTACAAACATGCTGTAGTAGTGCAGTTCTCAGGATCAGGCATGTTCACTCTGCCTTATCAAGTCTAGTAGAGACTAGATCTGGTCATACAGTGTTCCAGCTCAGATCAGCACATCTGGACAAAGGCTGACTGGATACATTAGTAACATCCTGCCTGCTTGCCAGCAAATGAAGTGTTATTTGTATCTTATCAAATATGTAATTTATATAAAATTGAGCATTTAACATGTATATATATATTTAGAAGTACTCAGCTGTTCTAATAGTAGAAAACATACCCATTTAAATATAAATTTTTATTTTTGTCTCCAATAGTAGGTAGATTTGTTCTAGGACAGGGGTCTGCAACCTGCGGCTCTTTGGTCCCTCTGCAGCAGCTTTTTCAAGCTTTGACCAAAAGTGACATAAAACTGAAGTTTATTGGTTGTTATAACAACAAGAAACTATCTCTCAGACCGGAGGCAATGTGTTCAACATAATGGTACTTCCTCCAGTTATTTAACAGTCAACAATGGTGTACCACAAGGCTCAGTCTTAGGACCCACCCTCTTTACAATCTACATACGTAATGTAGGTCAAAACATCCCTGATGCATCCATACATTTCTATGCTGATGACGCAGTTGTTTATTGTCGAGCTAAAACGGTTGAAAATGCTTTCCAGCTTTGGAAATCTGCATTTGACATCATCCAGACAGATTTGTTTCACCTCAAACTTGTCCTAAATGCTGACAAAACCAAAGGGATGCTTTTTTCCAAACAGGAAGTTGGTCCCAGCAGTTCTTCCTCTGATTTCATCCTCAAATGGTGTCCCCATTGAGTTTGTTGATTCCTATAAATATTTGGGTATTTTGGTCGACTCACATCTCTCTTTTAAGCTTCATGTGGAAAACTTGCTAAAGAAACTGAAAGTTAAACTGGGTTTCTTTTTCAGAAATAGATCTTGTCTAACTCTGAATGCTAGGCAACGCCTTTTGTCTGTGACTTTCCTTCCCTCCATTGATTACGGTGACATTATTTACATGAATGCTCCTACAAGAACCCTGCAGATGTTGGATGCTGTCTATCATGGTGCACTAAGATTCATAACTGGCTGTGATTATCGTACCCACCACTGCACCCTGTATTCACTGGTTAACTGGTCATCGTTAACTTCATGCAGACTCTCTCACTGGTACATTTTCATCTTTAAATCACTTCTTGGTCTGATGCCTTCATACATCTCCTCCTACATGTCTCTGCATGAGTGCAGCTACAGCGTGCGCTCTCAGGACATTAGTACCTGCAGTGTTCCCTCAGTACGGACTGAACTAGGCAAAAGGGCCTTCACCTACTCCGCTCCTGTTTCCTGGAATATCTTACAAAAAGATCTGAAGCTCTCGACCTTGACCTCTCTAAGTGTCTTTAAGAATCTGTTGGACTCTTGGCAGGGACCAATGCAGACATGTTCCTGTTTTTAGTTTTCTACATTCACCTTATAATTTAGCTATTTTTTTATTACTTTTTTCTTTTTTCTTTTGCCATCCTAGTTGTTAAAAAAAAAAAAAAATCTGTATGACGTTTTATAATTGTTTATTGTTGTCGCTGTTGTCCATTGTTGTCATCATTCTTTGAAATCAGGTCTCTCTTGTAAATGAGTCCTCGAGGCTCAATGGGATTAACATGTTTAAATAAAGGTTGAATGAATGAAAAAAGTGGTTAGTTTTAGCAGTTTCCAGGTCTTTTTTTTTTTTGCCAACATGTGATTGATAGTAACAGTAAAACTTGTTGACTGCATCATGCTAATAGTTTGTTAGCCACTTATTTTAGCTCTCTTCTAGTCTTATGGTGTGATCTTTTACTCAAATCCACCGATGTTTTTTTTGGGGGGGGGGATACCTTTAAGACAAGTTGCTGGAAGAAATACGTTGAGTCAACGTGATAATAAAAATTTAAGGAAAAAAAAAAACAAACTGAAAGTAAATGGATGTATTTTCATTTTAAAATTCAATTACATATCCAACAAACTGGCCTAATTTTTAACTCTATGCTTTTTTACTTCATAATAAGATACTTTATGAATTGTTTTCACAATTAAAAAGAAAACGCACATAAGCCTGCATACTTGTGTTTAACTTTTTATAACATTGGTTAAAACAATTTTTTTCTTCTTTACATAAATCCAGTCTTTTATTTTGCCCTAAAACATAAAAATATTAATAGTAAGTTGATATTTTAGTTTCATAATACCACACCTTCTGGCTGAAAAAAAAACAACCTCCAAAAGGCTTGAAGTGAGCCATGGGCCACCAGTTGATTACCACAGTTTTAGCAGGTTTTGCGGCTCCATAGACATTTTATTTAGTGTGCAAAGGGGCAGAAATGGCTCTTTTGATCATAAAGGTTGCAAACTCCTGTTCTAGGATATTTGGTTAATTGTAGTTCCAACTGTGAGCCAGCAGGTGGAGCAGTTTTTCTGTTGTCTAAACTGCAGATCCAATTTGTGCGGTGTTTTGGGGGTTTTTTGCAGGGTACTTTTGCATCCGAGGTTTCATTGGAAGGAGAAAAGATTAAGGTTGTCAGAGAAATTGATGGTGGGCTGGAGACTATTAAGATCAACTCACCAGCCGTGTTGACTGCAGACCTCAGACTCAACACCCCCAGATATGCCACTCTGCCTAATATTATGGTAGGTAAAGATCCTGTCATTCATTTTGGCTACATTTACATTAAAACTTTATTTAAAAGACCTAGAAGACACATTCTCACTTTGTTTTATTTGAAACTTGAATATATATATATATATATATATATATATATATATATATATATATATAAATATAAATTTAATTTTGTTTTCTTTCAGAAAGCAAAAAAGAAGAAAATTGCTAATGTGAAGCCAGCAGATTTGGGAGTGGACCTCACTTCACGGTTGGAGGTGCTGAGTGTTGACGAGCCCCCACAGAGACAAGCAGGGATGAAGGTGGAGACGGTGGAAGACCTGGTGTGCAAACTGAAGGAGGCAGGGAAGGTATAGAGGCTTAATGAGCAAAAGCTCAGGAGCGCACATCCCAACAGTGGAGGTGAGTATTAGTCTGAAGGTTTATTGTTCTAGCTAAAGTTTTACAACGCAGTAGCCTATGCTAGGTTATCTAAATCAGTGGTTCCCAACCCTGGTCCTTGAGGAACACCGTCCTGCATGTTTTACTTGTTTCCCTGCTTTGACGCACCTGATTTGAATGAATAGGTGACTAACTAGCTTCAGCAGAACTTGAGGAAGTAATTTAATCACTGAGTCAGGTGTGATGGCACAGGAAACAACTGATAAATGCAGGATGGTGTTCCTCAGCAACCAGGTTGGTAACAACTACAAATGTTAGCTTGCTAACTTGAGAGGCACGTATCAAATGACATAACGGTTGGAGGATTGTAGAGAATTTATTATTGTTGATTTTTTTTATTTATTTTACAGATAAATTAAAATTAACTTACCATGCTCGGTTCAGCAAAATATGTTACACTGTATTGCTCCCTGCTTCAACTATACTGAAAGTGAAAGTTAAATGAACGGCCATGACTTGAAAGTGCCATAGTCCTCTGTTGAATACAATCAATTACGCCTTTTGCAAGTAAGGACAGCTTGTTCCCAGTGTTTATATTGGCACATAATGGGGCAATTATCACCAATATTTTAATCTTTTTATATGTATCAATATACCAGTAAGACTTCAAACATCTATATCGACACTACTGATATATCGGTCGGACTCTAGTATCAATACCAATCATATATGCTAACTGCAGTTCCTGCCTTTGTTTTCTTTTTATGCATTATCTTCTCTTATTGCAGGACTCTGGTGAACAACAGGACTGTAATTCATAACGACACCCACAGGATGAGTTCATGAATCAGTTTTATTCCCTTGATTAAGACCGCAGCTCCTGATTATGAACTTTACTGAGAAACCCTGTCCAGACAGTAAATTTTAACTCCAATAGGTGACCCATCTGAATCTTTTCATCTAGTTATAACAGGCTTTATAAGCAATGAATAAAGTTCGAAGGTTTGTGTAATTCAAGTTGTTGATCGTATAAACTGTACACTAACTCCATCTGTACAATTCACCTGACGGCTGCAGCTTTTGAATCTTGTAATGTAGCCACACGTGTTCAGAGGTGTCAATGATCTGTGCAGATAAAGACCCAGACATGTGGAGATGATTACATCCTGCAAGATAAACATCAAGACTGCTGTTAAACTGTACAGTTAATATATATGTGACTTTGTTTAGGCTTAATCAAACAATGCATCTCAGTATGTGTGGGGGGGGGGGGATCACAAATCTGAAATTTACCATAAGCGCCTCAGTTCTCTGTTGATTGTACAGAATAGCACCATAAAAATAAAGCGACCAGCCTTTTTCATGTTTAGAGCCATGTCTGTGTTTAAGCATTTATATTTGTGTTTTTCTTTTGACTACAGTTAAACGTATGTGAAATGTTTGGCACCACCTAATGTTTGAGTCTCTTTTCATGGTTCTCAAGGTTTTATCATAACTGATGCATACATACACCAGTAAAACGTATAGCAGTGGCAAGATTACCATATATGCCAATGGAATTCAAAATAAATACTTTGACATTTTTCTTAAGCAGTAAGATCTTAAAATTGTATATTTGCTATAAAATGTATTTGTCTAACCACAAGAGGAAGCTCTGAAACCACCAGTAGTATTGCGTAACACCAGTAGTATTACGCAACACACTTTGAGCCTTAGAAAAACTGAAAACTAAAAATGAATTGTCAAATTAGACTGGGCAGGAGAAAATTCCACTCATACAAATCTGTTGTTTTCAAAGCATGGTAAAATATTCATTATATAGAAAATATTTAATGTATAGATCCTAGTATCTCGTATTTAGCGTGTATTGGAAAGTATTTCTGTTTAGTTCATGTTGCTGAAGCAGCTTTGAAACATGAACGACTTGACTGCACGTTGTTTTTGATAATTACAGTTTCTGCATGATATCACATTTGAATTAACAGCAGTGACCTTCAATTAGTTTTAAATATTCAGATTTTAACTGTCGGATACAACTTTATTACTTATTTGCAGAGGAATTAGTTTGTGCTGTTCCTGAGTTTTACCACATTATAGTGAAAGGTGTACATCTAAAAACCAAAGCAACCTTAACATTTTACTTGCGTAATAACCTGCATAGTAATTACATATACTGTTTTATTTGTTTTTACTGTTGTGACTTTGACAGCCTTTTAGGCTATATAAACATATGTTTCTGCCTTCACTGTCTATGCCTTTAGCTGCACCCAGTCATTTAGAATAGAGTTGTAAACACTTTCTAATATTTTAATGTAACATAAAATAATTTTTTTTAGTATTATCATTATGTAGTATGATATGCTAACTAAATATGTACTTTTGAGGACATGTCCATAGCCTTTAGTGTTATTATTATTATGACTATTATTATTATTTTTTTCTTTATTTAGAACTTTACTTCAAATACAACAATCTAAAAAGCACATATCAAAAGAGAAGAAAAAGGAAGCAAACAATAATAAAAATAAATAAAAAATACAAAGATAAATAAATACGAGTTACAAAGTTAAGTTGTATTCATTACAGATTTTTTTTGTTTTTATAGCCTTTTTGATATTTGAGTCTGAGATTGAGTCAAGATACAGATATCCATTACAAATACATCAAAAAAGGTTTCCTATGCGTAATTTTACTTTTATGGATATGGAACTTGGCAATAAACAAGATCAGATTGATAATTAATACGTGAGAGGAGTCTTTCGTCTTGAAATCTAGGATACCAAACAGACTTTTATTATTATTATTATTATTATTAAATGGACATCCCTGGAGTTGTTTTTGTAAGGAGGGGGCGTGGCTTCAGACGGACAATCGAGGCTTTCAGGTGAGCTGTTCACGCGCAGCAGCTCGAGCGCAGGTGCTCCACACGAGTCAGCGCAGACCGACACCCCAAGGACGTTTCTGCTCTTTTGAGACTTTTTTTTTTTTTTTTTTACTTTTGTGTGTGTTTACCTGAGATGATGAGACTGGAAGAATGTGAGGAGTTCAGCTCAGTGTTTTTGTCCGTTTTATTTTTCTTTTTATTTCAAGGTGAGTTTTAAACACGGATTCAGCCTTAATAGTCTAACACTACTTTGTTCCTTTAACTGTTTATGTATGTGTGTGTGTGTGTGTGTATATATATATATATATACACACACACACACACACACACAGTGCCTTGCGAAAGTTCGGCCCCTTGAACTTTTCAAACTTTTGCCACATTTCAGGCTTCAAACATAGATATAATTATTTTATTTTTTTTGTGAAGAATCAACAAGTGGGACACAATCGTAAAGTGGAATGAAATTTATTGGATGTGTCAAATTTTTTTTAACAAATAAAAAACTGAAAAGTGGGGCGTGCAATATTATTGGGCCCCTTTCCTTTCAGTGCAGCAAACTCACTCCAGAAGTTCAGTGAGGATCTATGAATGATCCAATGTTGTCCCAAATGACTGATGATGATAAATAGAATCCACCTGTGTGTAATCAAGTCTCTGTATAAATGCACCTGCTCTGTGATAGTCTCAGGTTCTGTTCAAAGCGCAGAGAGCATCATGAAGACCAAGGAACGCACCAGGCAGGTCCGAGATACTGTTGTGGAGAAGTTTAAAGCCGGATTTGGATACAAAAAGATTTCCCAAGCTTTAAACATCTCAAGGAGCACTGTGCAAGCAATCATATTGAAATGGAAGGAGTATCAGACCACTGCAAATCTACCAAGACCCGGCCGTCCCTCTAAACTTTCATCTGGAACAAGTAGAAGACTGATCAGAGATGCAGCCAAGAGGCCCATGATCACTCTGGATGAACTGCAGAGATCTACAGCTGAGGTGGGAGAGTCTGTCCATAGGACAACAATCAGTCGTACACTGCACAAATCTGGCCTTTATGGAAGAGTGGCAAGAAGAAAGCCATTTCTCAAAGATATCCATAAAAAGTGTTGTTTAAAGTTTGTCACAAGCACCTGGGAGACACACCAAACATGTGGAAGAAGGTGCTCTGGTCACATGAAACCAAAATCGAACTGTTTGGCCACAATGCAAAACGATATGTTTGGTGTAAAAGCAACACAGATCATCGCCCTGAACACACCATCCCCACGGTCAAACATGGTGGTGGCAGCATCATGGTTTGGGCCTGTTTTTCATCAGCAGGGACAGGGAAGATGGTCAGAATTGATGGGAAGATGGATGGGGCCAAATACAGGACCATTCTGGAAGAAAACCTGTTTGAGTCTGCAAGAGACCTGAGACTGGGACGGAGATTTATCTACCAACAAGACAATGATCCAAAACATAAAGCCAAATCTACAATGGAATGGTTCACAAATAAACGTATCCAGGTGTTGGAATGGCCAAGTCAAAGTCCAGACCTGAATCCA